ATGCCTACACGTTTTAAAGGGTTAAGAGGCAGGTAAATACTAGGCAGATAATAGTAATTAATACATGCTGTAGTCCTCATCTTGCATAAGAACATGAGTCTTGTAGTATGATTAAAGCTCTCATGACTTTGGCTATAGCTTTTTCTTGCGTTAAAACCACGAAAAAAAATTACTTTCATAATAGCATTTTTATCGAAAATGGCATTTAAATATCCAAGCGGCAGTCAAGGATAAATATCTGCTAAAAAAGGATCTCTTCTAATGCCATCTATGAACGTCGAACAGCAGTAATAGGACAGTGTTTCAGAGCACCACCAGATGGCGTCTTGCCCATCAAAGCCTGCAACCGTTGTAGGTTGTAGCGCCGTCGCCTTTAGTTCGTATCGTAAATGTATAGAGGGCTCTGATTTACCTTCTAAGAGCTTGTAATGATTTCAGCGAGGAAGCTTAAAAAAAAGCTTTATTTTTAATACTGGATCTTAGACCATTATTAATATGTATAAATTACAATTAGGCAATTAGTACTTGTAACTAACTCTACATTTCCAAATCTTTTAGAACCTTTCACCTAGGATCTGGGCATTGTTTTACGTTAGCTCTAGCGTTTTAGTGATACAACATACAACTACATAATTAATAATCAAAAAAGTTTAAAGAAGCAAAGAAAATGTTTGTTGAATTTTATTACTCCTTTTTTATCCAAATCTAATTAAAAAAGTTATTCTCACTTTTTCTTGTAGAATGTTTAGTTGCAGTTTGTTTGTTTGTCATATTAAGTACGTTTTCAGAATATTTTATTTATTTTTTTTTATTTTTTTTTATTTTATTTATTATGACAACCAACAAGACAAACACGCATACATGAAATTACTATAACTAAAAGTGCTTAAAACTAAGTGCTAATATTACAATTGTAAGCTTAGTTTTGAAGATTCGAAAACGCTCTAGCAATATTTCATTGTGAAACATGCTCATGGACCGCCATATATGCTCACCCTGATTGTTTATGGTCTGTGCAATGAGTATTGCGATATGAAGACGAGTCGTTAAAATATTAAAATAAGACTGCTATCTGGCCAGTGTTCACATTCTTCCTATATTTTATAAACTCTGCTTCTACCTACCGTAATGTTAGTTTACACTACATTTATTTTTACATAGATTTTTTTCGTACCATATTCTGCCTATCATATGGATGACCGTCATTCCATTTACCGCTTTTAGCCACCTTGAATTCTAGAGCGACCATATCGTTATTCAAATCTTAAACTATTTATTTATAGACTTAAAACAATTGTGGTCGTTTAACTTGCTATTTAAACTTAATTTATTTAAAAAAACAATAAGGGGTGTAGGTATATTAAGCTGGGTTGCACCATTTTTGTTTGACTTTAACAAACGTCAAAAATCTGTTAAACCCTTACAAAAAGCACCGGTTATCGTTATAGTTACGGTCAAAGTTAGGTGGTTCAACTCGGCCTTAGTTTGTCATCTTAGACTGTAGGCAATTGAATAGGTAGATAGGAGTGTATATTGGCCCAATTGTTGTAGATTATATTTTATTTTAATATCTTAAGTATCATAATATACACTTTGTGAAGAAGATACGAGAAAAATAATTGGACCTTCTCTATGCAACTTAGACACAATCAATTTGACACTTTCCCATACGATTGACATGCGCTGAGCGTGGCGTGGCGCAACGATAACATCGCGTAATCCGTAGCGCACCGCGCGTGTGCGTGTAGCAAGTCTCATGCGCACGCGCAGCGCTGTAAATTATCGACCATCGGAAAGGCTAATGAGATGGCATAATGTGGCATTCCACCGCGGTTAAGCAGTATATCACATTAACTCGAAGGTGTCCACGTAACTGCCATTGTCCGTGTCTTCACCCACGTTGCAGGCCCTGAAAGATAGCCGTACCTACAATGCACCCGCAATTCTTGGATCAATTTGATTGCCCCAAAAATGTACTGCAAATTCATGAAAAATCCTACGTAGAAGTGACAAATTATGGAATCATCATCACCATCATCATCTCAGCCATAGGACGTCCACTGCTGAATATAACAAAAGCCCCCAATGCTTTCTATGTTACCCGGTTGGTAGCGACCTGCGCCGCTGGACGCCTGACCTTTTCCTGCTTCCTTTATGATTTAGCAAATTATGGAATGTTCTTTTTCAATTTGTAAAGGCTGAAACTTTCAACACAATTAAGTTCAGATGACGCTACCTGAAAGTTTTGCGTTCAATTTCTAGACGAAGCTTATTTTTAAACAAATTACTGATTTGATTGGTTCGGTCACAAAGATTACTCTACAACATCATGGCATACTCACGCTGCCATTATAAGGGAGAGTCCGCTAATTTGGACCAGTTTTTTTCAATCCCATTTTACACATAGTTTTCTTTTGTTTTTGCTAATGTCCATGGTATATAATGAAAGATACATTATTCAACTTACTATTTCATAAGTATTAATTAACATGATTGTTGTATATTTAGCACAAATCAACAAAGTAAGAGTTCAGAGCTTCGGTCCAATTTAGCCAACCGGTTCGATAATTTGTACCACAGGGTTACTAAATTGGATTTCAATAAATTTCAAGCCTATAAAAAAACTATGGCAAAATATTATACGATACATTCTTAACAAATTAGGAAACGAAAAGGAACAGTAGTTAATAACATAGACAATCGATATTGTTTTACACGTTATCACGATTTTGAGTACAAGTTTTGTAATTCCAATTATCGTAACGCACACTTGTACCTAATCTACTTTGCCAGTCTTTTGCTTTCATTTATTGTTAGTCAAACATAACTACGCTATTATAACTTCAAAATATGATTTACTAAAAAAAAATTCAAAATCCTTTGGTAAAGTTCCATACAACTTGATGTGGTACAATTTAGCCGACTAGGTGATAGTGCTTTTAAAAAATCGGTAAAAAATATATTAGTTTATAAATACCGAAACATGTTTCAAATAATTGTAATCCATACTAATTTACGCTTCTAAATAATATATTAGAAACACCCTGTGATTAAATTTAACAAAATTACAAACTAAACATGTATTGTCAAAAGTTACTTGAAAACAATGAAAAAATACTTTTCAAAATAAAACACACGTGTTTGTTGTCACGGCAATAACCACATGGCCGATATTAATTGATTTTAGTTGTGTATCGCTGAGTGTTGCAGTTACATACATTCAATAAATACTTTACGAAATATGAGGGTGGTACAATTTACCCGGCGGTACAATATACCGAACTCTCCATCGTAATATCATTGAGTGTGTGTCCCGCCGTGTGCGCTCCTCACAGATGACCCTCGTTTTTAAGAGGCTGGAGTCAGCCCCTCGAAGGTGATATTATCACCACGACGATCTCGAGTCGTGTCGGGCGCCACGCCAGCCGGGCTCTTTCCGAAATCTTGTTTTCTATTATCTTATTCGGCAATTTTCGAGCAAGTTTTAAAATATCCATCTAAGAGACTTGGCTACATTCATCTATAATAATACTACTACCGAAAAACGGACTGACATATTAAAATTAGGTAATTTAATACGTTATTAGGCATTATGAATTAAAACAGTAACAAATATTATGTACTAGCTTTCCGCCCGCGGCTTCGCCCGCGTGGAATTTTGTCTGTCACAGAAAAACTTTATCGCGCGCGTCCCTGTTTCAAAAACCGGGATAAAAACTATCCTATGTTCTTTCCCGGGACTCAAACTATCTCTATGACAGACAGACAGAGTTACTTTCGCATTTATAATATTAGTTGGGATTTACTATAATATCTACAACAAGTGCAACATTATATCTTTCTTGCAACAATAATCTGCAAAAAAAACATAACCCTTCTTCGGGAGCAATCGAGTAAAACGTTTATTCTGACAAATCGAATTATTTCGCCATTTCACCAATTCAAATAAATGTGTACTACTATCTTTTGTCAAACTACGGTTTAATTATATTGATTTAGATTGAAGATTTAGAAAGATATTATGCAATGCAATTTAATGGACTAGAACTATACTTATATTACTATACCTTCATCTCAACTGAAATATTTTTAAAATATAGTAGGTATGTTTATGTTTGCTTAACGACACAGCTCATCTTGATATTTAGTCGAGAAAATGCAAATGTGTGTTAGCTACATTTGAGGCAAACACTTCGCTCCTACTCTTGGATCACCGTTAAATAGTCGCTGTCGTTGTTTACGATCGTGATTGCTGATTCACAGTTTTTTGAATACTGATGGCATCTATTACCATAACATCCGGAATTGAGCTATTCAGTTTATTTTTGATGTCGTAATATCTTACATACGTACTCGTAAAATACTTAATTCGAACGTCATCACATAAAAAGTAGGATAAAAAGCTTGTAATAATATTAGATTCTAACCTTAAACTTTTTAGAGTAGTCTTTGTTACTAACCAAAATGGACTGCATTGGCTGAGAATAAATGATTTTTATTTTTATTTATTTACGTTTGTAAATTGCTCTACGCTTGCCAATTTGATAAGGAAAATTATTTTAAAAACTTTCAATAAAGAAGATCTTTTGGCAATGGACTCTTGGCAACATTACACATGAAAGTTGATGAATATTTAGCAGTTTAACGACATATTTTGTCGGTACAAAAGCACAGTCAACTCTAATGCCACTCTGGAACCTTAACACAAAGCTATTACGAATTTTATATTAAGGTGTGTAATTGTGTATAAATTTTAATACGTTTAATGTAGGTATGGGCTATATTCTTGAAGACTCTTAGACGTATTCCGGGAGCATGTACAAAGTCGCACAAATCGACGATCATCGTCGACTACAATGCGAGGTAGCAGTTATTTGTACCGATGAGCACATCATTTGTGTCCGTGCTTAAGGTCCACGATGACCAGCCTGTATTGTATAGGATTACACACAACAGCTCGATTTGGAGGCGCCATAGGTTACGTAAAGGAAACACGCCACTCGGATCACGATCGACCGTTTTATTTTAATATTAAAATTTATGTACAAACGTATAAAAGAGAGATGTTACACAATATCACATTCACTGTCTTGTACTTGCACAACCAATAAATTAAATATTAGTCAACAGCTACGGTTGAAGACAGCAATCGTACGAAGAACCTGGTGGTTTCATACGGTCGCTGGCTTCGGAACCCCATCTTCCATCGTCTACGACGTCTTACTGGCGACCGACCTGGTCGATTTGGCTCTGGAGGTTGTTGATGACCTCAGAGGGTACCTGGTCACCAAGGATCTCGAAGAGGTTGATTCTCTGGTTGCCGGGAATAGACTCGTAAGCAGCTAGCTCGATTCCTTCTTGTACCTGAGTAACATCATTATTAACTAAGTTAGAATTGTATTAAAAACTTATTAATATTCTTAAATCTAGTCAAACGAGTCGAACTCAAAAATACCAAAATACGAGTAGAACACGAAATGCGGAGAAATAACCTTAACATATTTTACCAACAGCAACTTTTTATTTAATATTATGCAAAAGAGGACCAGGTTGTTTATGGTCAATCAACTTATGCATAAAGTTGTAAATAATGTGAAATACCATTTTAGCTTCATCGATAACGATGCCATTAAGTGCCTACCTACCAAAAATTCTGACTAACTTTAACCAAACATAAAAACATGTTTGGTTAAATCTCAGAGTAATTTTATGAAAAAGCCGAAGATCAAAAGCTCATCAACATCACAAACACTAAAGTTACCACATTTCGAGTAAACCTGCATTAAGGCTGAGTTGCACCATCTTATTTTGAATTTAACAAACGCCAAAAATCTGTCAAACTCCATACAAAAAGTAGGTACCGGTTGTTGTTAAAGTTACGGTCAAAGCAAGTTGGTGCAACTCAGCCTAAGACTACAAAAAATAAGCTCTTGGCTTATGCTAGTGTACCTATTGGTTCAAACTAGACACAATAAATTAGATACAAGCACTGTTCCTCACCTTCTGGATCTCAGCGTCTTTGGGGATGAGGAAGGTGTTCTGGGCCTGCTTGATGGCCTCTTTGGAGAAGGCGGCGCCCTCCCTCTGCGGCGCTGCGGCCGCCATCGCCACCACCACCAGCAGACAAACCACGTAGGACTGCATGTTGATTGGAACACCGACACTGGAACAAAATGGAACTGTTGTCAAAAGAGCTGAAGAACGAAAACATGTTCGAGGAGTCTGAAATAACAAATCCTAGCTTATTTTGGATTGAATTAACAAATCAATCAAATCAAATCAAATCAAAAATATTTATTCAGTTTAGACCACAAGTGGCACTTATGAACGTCAATAGAAAATAATGAAAAAAGAAAAGGTAGCCCTTATATAACATAAATTTAAATTGCCCAAAAACATTATCTCAAAGAGCTTTTTGAAAGCTCAATCGCAAAAAATATTACAAAGACTTTCTTATTCTTCTTCATTCAAAACATTAATGTTTTGCAGAACTCACGATGTCGATGTGAGTTCAATTTACCGGAGCTTAATGTATTTTACTCGTAAGCTTTTCAATTAAGGCAATTCATCTTCTAATTATTTCCTTCTTGATGGAACCCGTGTAATTATGGTTACATTCGGTTTAATAATTGGCAAGGGCTCTAAACAATATGTACGTGCAGAATAACAATTTATCAGATTGGCCAATCGTCTCAATCAAATGCAAACGATGAAGACGTCCTAATTGGGCAGTTGACACACCGTTTTATATAACGATGTCAAGGCGGCTGAGATTTCTTTAGCGCGTCACTGAAAGATCGGTGATTTAAAATCGATTATCCGTTTCTAAGTGTGATTGCGATGATGTAACACATCCGAGGTATACACGGCACTTTTACCACTTTGCACATTTCACTGGTGCTATTGTCGTACGTACCTGGCAGGCGGCGCAGGAGTGCGGCGCGCGCGCACCCGGCGCTCTCTTAAACGCGGCTCCCCACGCCGCACTTTCACCGCCAGCCTGCGCAACACTCCTGCGGCTGCTCGGGCCACGAGATCAGATCATCATGTGTGATAGATCATTTATGTAACTGTGAGGAATGATGTTTAAAGTGTTGAAGCTTTGTGCAATTACCAAATCTTAGGACCAGGATAGGTGGGTGTCACTGTAGGCTAGTGGTTACAAAATGGAATTCTAAGACAGACTAAACTCGCTTCTTCTCAAAACACACTAAATATCGGAATGGGCTAAGACATGTCAGCATTTAATCAACCCAAACCTGATTCAGTTCTTGGCAGTGCAAGCTAATCTAGTCCATCCCATTCCCATAGACATTATATGTCTTTGGGAAATGGGATGGACTAATTATAGCTCATGAAGTGTTATGTTATTATCACAAAATGAAAATTCCCGCCCGTATGCCCGCCACATTGGTATTAAGCACACATCTGATTTCACCGATATTACACAAATTATTTAAATGTGCCTTTTAATTTAAATAATCTACTGTCGGGATCGAAAAAATCGCCAATCAATCCTCTAGTTTCGTGGCCGCACCGTATATCAATCGGTACGAGTATCGGCATAAAGATTTTGAATAAATCCGGTGTGTTGCGGCATATTAAGCTCTTGGGATGTTCGGACGGATCGCGCTTTGTAAATAAGCTCCACTTGATTCGGACCTTGGCTGTCAATCATACTTAAGGATGATTTATTGTGGTAGCTAAGTTTGCTTTGTCAAATGTTAAGGTGGCATTGAATTTATCAATGGGTGATCAAGCTAAGGAATCCATGCGGTCGTTTAAACCGCCGATGGTTCGCCCATTAAACACCTAAATATGTGTAGTGAGGCTATATAATGTGTAAATATCTTCATGACACGAATATTGGCTCTATAAATCTATGTTTAGATTTGTTCCACACAACCGCCGTAGATGTAACGATTTTTGGTGATCTGGATTAACTAAGTAATGTAGAAAGTTGTTTGAAACCTAACTACTAAAGGAGATTGTCTGAGCTGGTGGTCCACGTGCCGAACTAGACTACAGAGCCAGCTGCGGTCGCGGCTTTGAATCCCACTGGGGGCAGAATTGCAGAATTAAATAATGTGATGAACACCAATATTCGTAGGTAACTCTTAAGCGGGTTTTTAATCATCCATCTTTTTGACATTTTATAATTTTTATTAAATTTAACTGTTTGACATTTTATAAAATTGACATTGTATTTATTTGACATTTAGAAATTAATGTATAATTTATTACTATTTAATTAATTTTTAGTCTGCACTCTGTATTAATTTTAACTGTGGAAACTTTGCTGATTTCTGTCCTATTTTTTTGTGTGATTATTTGTCTGTATATCAAAATTGTTTGTTTCCCTAATATAAATAAATAAATAAATAAATAAATAAATCCAGCACTGCTTATTTTGGACCTGTGTGATTGATGGGATATTTGTATTTGTTTACTTCTTCAAAAATAAAAGGAAAGCCATTAATATGCGACTAATGTGACTAATATATTATGGGTGTGATAGTTTTAGATGTTTTGATCTTCTAATACAGTGGTTCTTAACCGGTGGTCCGCGGACCACTGGTGGTCCCTGGAGGCATTCTAATTGGTCCACGAAGACATCGTAATAAACAAGTGATGTGACGTGATGAGTCGAGTCAACATAACGCAAACGGCGCACAGTGGGCGAGAAATCGACCTCCCCTTTATAGGATACCCCTCATAGGATTATGAAAAAAAAAAGTAGTCCCTGACAAGACAGAAATTTGGTAAAATGGTCCCTCGTGACTTAAAGGTTAAGAATCACTGTTCTAATAGAATGGCTTCTTCTTCTAATATTTTGCCCGCTCGACCATCAACACCTAGGAGGACGATTGGAAACTTTACCTAAATTCTGTAAACAATATTCTTTTTAATTAACGTATTTTGCTCAGATACTTTTGTTAATTATGTCGTTTTATTGATGTCATTGACCCTTTTTGGCGTATTTATCGAAAACTGGTTATCAGCATCCATTTGATCGTCTCATAATCATGATCATTAAGACTGGCTAAATTAACCGGTTCGGGTCCAAAACTATTTTCTTAGCCTTCACAGATTATTATCATACGTGACTTAGATGGATTGTTGGAACAATCTAGCGCAGAGAAAGCTTATAAAGAAATCAATGATTTGGCTGGATGTTTGCGTTTCTTTTTATCGTGCGTGTTGAATTTTAGTGCTTTCATTATAGCCCTGAATATGTCAACTTGACAAGACATCCTCAGCCCATAGCTTACTCATAAGTAATGATCATTCTAATTTGAGTTCAGCTCCTTTATTTTTATTTTCTACAATAATCCTGACTTGCATTTTTGAAGAATTCTAATTTCAAATTACCTAAAAATTACACCAGATGTAACGTAGATTGAAATGTGACTAATATCTGAGGGTAGTCTAATAATTGTCTCACATGTCTTTTAAATTGACATTTGCAGTTCATTGTTGGTCATCTAACATACTTAATTATTGCCTAGGCTTTTTTTGATTTTATAATATTCAGTGTAGAAGTGATAAGTTATCCTCGAAAAGTTACAAAACCTTGCAGTGAATGTTGGTTATTGTCGAAAAAGGTGCGAATTGTCGTGCACTTTCAAAATATCAGAGAGTTTGCACTTTAAATTTTATTTTATTGCTTACACAAGTCGTTTCAAGAAACATCATCTTGGTTATTTATTACACAATAAGCGATAGCTCCAATGAAAATGTACTTTTTATCAAAAATTGGCGAAATTTATGTATGACATCAGAATTTTTTGTCTTTTACATTGAAAACCATATTAAGTAAAGCTTAAATCATTTCTTGTGAAGGCTTTTTTTATGACCAATATGAAAAGTTGTTAATGGCAACCACTTTTTATTCCACCGTCTTCTTTCGCGTTGTTTGGAAGAAGAAATCTTATACACTAAAAAAAAATTGTAGTTCATTATTAAAGATTTATTAATTTGATTATTGAGTATATTTATGAATAAGTTTATCAAAGTAACCCATCCTACGGAATGCGAAGGCGTGATTTTCTCAATGAATTTTAGACTCTAAAAGTTTGCAGATTTGCATGATTGCCAATTTATGCAACCTAGCTTAGAATTTATAAAAAAAATTGTATCTAGTGCTTAACTACACATTTGTACTGGCTTTGATTACCAACGGCTAAGTACACTTGGCACAATAGCGGTAGCTCTGAGCCTGTCTTCCTCCTGTACGACTGTCGACTATACTTACGGCGATAACATCAGGGAAAGGCATAAGTGGTCTGAGACGGCACAGTACACTCGTGCCACTGCACTAATTGACATGTCCGGCGTGGATTGTCTATTCTGACAAAGCCACTTTAAGCGGAGATTCATCAATACAAACCCAACTACCCGATGTAGTCAATAAAGAAAAGGTCGTAGGTAAAGTGTTAAATAAAACGCTAGCAGTGCGCGAAACCGGCGATGCTGATAAAATACATCATCATCATCATAAACGAAACATAAAATAAAACCTCCTTCAGTACATCTCTCAAATGTCACAATAATTGCAGCAATAGTTATGACTTGTATTCTAACTGATGTGCAACGAGATGAACTCTTGCGCAGAGCAACTTAGTGCACTCGTAGCCTAGATGCTTTCTAAACCATGCACACGAAACATTTGTATCTAATAGGTAGGTACATTCAGTATGTTTTTGGTATCATCAAAATAAGAGGAAAAAGTGTATAAACAAGATCACCGAGATTATTTCCTGTTAAGCATCTTCTACTCTCTTTCTTCATACTCTAATGCCCACCGATGATGCAATGGCTCAGCCGTAATAATATGTAACAGGGTTAGCTTACACGCATTAATCTCGCGCAGGCGCACTGTCTTCACCTCGCGCTCGAGTCAAAAGTCAACTCATTAGCCATTTGACTCCGAATGAAAAGATCTTTCATGAATTCATATTTCCACATCGGCGACACGTGTTGCGTCAACTCAATGCGCAAAATAAAAACAAAAGCGCTATGGACCTAGGTGCTTAGCGTTTTATTTAAACTTACAAAAGAAATAGTCGCAATTAATTCTAGGACCCAGCCATATAGGTAATTGGCTCTATCCTTGTTCATGGATGGTTCTATTGGTAAAATCATATTTAAATCGTCTTTTTTGTTAGTTTAATATATGTAGATACTCGCTTTATTTAGATCCTGAAAAAATACTTAG